CTAGTACTTAAAAATATAATCCTGAATGAGCTGGAGAGATGGCTCAGCTAAGAATGCCTGCTGCTCTTGCAGAGGACTCAAGTTCATTTCTTGGCATCCTTGTTAAGAGGTTCACAACCCTTATTATGCCTCTTTGACAGAATCTAATGGCCTCTTCTGTCTTCTACAGACACCCATAAACACATGGCCACCCCCGCCCCACATATCCATGTGAATAAAATAAATAAATTGTTAAAAATTAAGCCTTGAGTTGTCATGTTTGCTCATTTCTATGGTGTAATTGGTTGGCTGATTTCAAGCTGGCAACATAGGAGCACTGAACAGGGGCTCCAGTGGAGGTAGTGAGGAGAATTGCTGAACTGGTGGGAATCAGCTCTAGGACATGGGGTACATAGTTACTACTTGAGGGTCATGGGCATAGTCCTTGCACTAACTGTAACTTTGTTTCTCTCTGATGCTGGGGGGCTAATCCTAGGCTCTGTGTATGGGAGAGAGGTCACTCTCAATTGAACTCTGTAATAGACCCTAATTAACTTTGTCTAAAGTTTTAGGAAGGTTTATTTGATGAAGGGGAGGTGGGAATCTTTTTCTCTCCAGCCCTCTAGTCTCTTCTTCCTGGGATGATACACTAGCTCAGCGTCCTCAAATCTGTATGTTCAAGACTAACTGGTTATGGCTTTATAGTCTTAGTTCAAAAAGAAGAAGAAAAATAAGAATGAAGGCATAGGAAAAGTTTGGGAGAGAGGGAGAATGACAGGTGCTTACCTAGTGAATCAACTCAGTGAACCAGGGAAGGTGCACACACTTGTACACATGTTGTCTAAGGACAGATTACCATGAGTCCAAGCACCACCTTATGTAGGTATAGCGACCACAGCAATGCCATGTTAGATCATTTAATTCAAAATATTAATAATAAATATAACTTATTATTAATGCTCCTTTGGTGAAGATACCAGCACTTTGCTGAGGTCAAGGAATTGCTTGTCAGTAGTAAGTAATGCAAAAAAGAACCCACTTACCACCAGCTCTGCTTGGTGGCCATATTACAGTCTATGATATTTAGGTGAGACATGAATGCTGATCTAAAGTCCTACTAGTAACATAGTGTAGCTCACTAGGGAATCACATCAGAAGCAGGGCTGATGTATCCTGCTGGTCAGTTCCATGCTTCAGTCCAGTCCAACGATGTAATTTCGGAAGACTGGAAAATCGTTTATGGAATATTTTTGTGAGTCAGGGAAGCTAAAAACGCATGACAAGGGACAGTGCCACCTGAAATAACAGGGTCTTTATACCCCAAGGCTTATTAGTTTGTAGTTGAACCCAACCAGCTGAAACAACAGCTGGCTGTGGATGAGCCTAAGCTCCAGTGTGCTGACCAGAGCTGTCAGGTAAAGCCTCTGCGCATGCACCAGTGAGGCTAAAATCTCAGCAGTGCTCACTGAGAGAGACAACGCATGGTCAAGGAACAAATCAGAAAGAGGGAGGGATGGAGGGAAGGAGATAGATGGATAGATAGATAACAGACAGATTAGATAGATTATATATATATATATATATATATATATATATATATAACAGACAGATTAGGTAGATAGAAAGATAGATAACAGACAGACAGATTAGATGACAGATAGATAGATAGATAGATAGATAGATAGAGATAAATAGATGACCGCCACATTCCGTCAACTTATTGAGCCAATCAGAGGTTAACTGGTTTCTGCAAAAACCTTCTTTTCAGCTGGCTGTAGTGAGCAGAAATTGCATGTCACGGCTGTCATTTTTTTAAAAAAGAAATTCTTGCTATAGTTCAAAACCATGCCACAACTCTCAGAGGTTAAATAGGAAGAATTCTGACAAATGACACATTTGCTCTGGCATAAAAAATATACACAGACGTCTAGATAGAGTTTAAATGATAGGTCAGTTTGGAATGGATGATAGACACTATTAATTCCAGGCATTATTTCTGAAGAGTAAAACCATAGATGGGAGTCAGTGAAACAGGCAAGTCCACACCCACAGGGCTACTTTTCTGCATTACCTTCGATGTTTCATTCTGTCCCATGAATACGTTGGGTATTATTGTTAAGGACCAGCCATGGATTCTTTACATTTATGACTTTGAAGGCTTACCGCACACTTGAATTTGAAGGGGGAGAGGTTGCCAGTCACCATGTGATACATAAGAACTATTTAGAAAGCAGATACTCAACAATTGTTTGAGTCTTATACTGGTGAGTAAAACTGAAAACCATTATGGAGAGATTGTGTTTTGTGCTAGTAAACTGGTTTTCCTCCTGCTCAGTATTTAAGATTTCATCTCACCCCAATTTTATCAGAGAATTGGTCCAGTGTTCACTGACTCAACTGAGGAATCTGGAAGGGCAGAAACAAAAATTCGTTGCGATTCACTCTGTCTTTGTAATCGAGAACATTTATAGAATGGCTGAGAGCAACAGGGTCAGGATAAACATCCCGAGCAAACAAACACTCACAGGAAAAAGGCTTCCAATCGGATCAAGAGCAGTTCCCTGGGGTCGTGGGAGGGTAGGTGACAAGAGTGGGCATATTTGGGGGGCTGTGTGGTGCCTGCCTCCTGGCAACCTTCTAGAGATAGAAAATGGTTGTATCTAGTCACGAAGGACCGAAGCGATGTGTCAAAGACAGATTCTGTGTTCCTAAGAGAGGGAGCAAACTCCCAAGTGTGTTTGAGACCATGATGATGGCTATTTCACCTGCAATCTATGTGGACAAATGGCTCTGCTACAAAACGACAGAAGGACAGCAGATTGCAGACTGAGACGTGGAGGAGTTGGCCAGGGTAACTACTTGTAATAAAGGGTAAGTTTTGCAGAAAATTAGGATATATTATTTATTATCTACCCAAAATTGTGAGGTATGATTTGAATCTGCAACATAATTTGATGGAAAACAGAAGTTATGTTTTTCTTTAGTAATTTTAGGATATTTTGGTGAATATTATGGGATACTTAGAGATGTTGTGAATATCTGGGAAGTCGGATATTCTAATAAGATATACATTATTTGAAATCTCAATAAATTGGATAAGTTATTTGAAATATGTATTTGAAGCATATAAAGTAAATATTATGAGGCCAAGGATATATGAGAAATTATTAACAATATTATAAGGAGGGAGAAATACTAAAAATTAAGTAGTGTCATCTAAAAGACCAGTAAACAATTAGCTTCAGGATAGTTAAAGAAGGAAGCCAAAGGAACGAAAAATAATTTTAATTAGTTAAATCAATAAAGGTTTTTAGATTCATATTGTCATTACACAGGAGTAATAAAGTGCTAATTTCTGCTCCATTAACCATCCTTCACACTTAAATAGAGCTTTACAAAGTCCGTTTACACATAAATAGTCATTATTTGATGAATTATATAAGATAGATATATAAATAAACACCTAATATAATTACAGCAGTAATGTACACTATGTAGAACAACAATAGAGTGCCTGGAAACTTGCTGCAGTTTTAGTGTTCTTTCTGTTTTCTCTCTGTGTTGAATATGAGTGTCATGAAGGGAAGTCTAATAACAATCCACTTTAGTCAAGAGGAATATCTCTTCACAGGATGATAGCAGAATGTCTTAAAATATATCCCATATGAAGAATCTTCCCAAGGCCCAGGCACCATCACATTACATATACATTTTGCTGTAGCCCACAAAACATTCACAACATTTTTCTTTTTAATGTTTTCTTATAAATAATTCACTTTGTTTATGTTCAAAGAATATTACAAGCAGAAAGTTACTTGTTTAAAGAAAAAGCAATAACATCAGTGAATGTTATTCAGTTACTTTGGCTTTCTATTATGGTCTTTCTTTGAGGAGGGTGAGTATAGTAAATGTTTCTGTTAGGTCTCTAGATTGATCTCAGAGCTTCCTCTTTGGCTGTTTTCTCTCATAAGCTTGGGAGCACCATTTGATATTAGATAAGGTCAAATTTTGTACAGGATAAAATGATAGTATAGGCTTCCAAATGTCCATTTGCAAATTGTTAATGCAAACATTTCAGCATTGGAAACCACACTCAATCCTCTTCAAGTCAGAAGAGACTCAGTGGGAAGAAGCTAGACCCACAATATGGATGCTCTTAACTTGGAGTTTAGCACTGACTTTCTTTGCATTACTTCACTGGAGAGCTATCTGAGTAGAATCACTTAAAGCACAGGCATAAAGAACAGGCTGCCAAACCAAAACGACAGCTTGAGTTCTGCAACCCCAACAACAATGCCTTTCCATTGATGGCTTGCTCAATATGGAAAGAGTAGTTTATGTGTCTTTAGAAATTCCTATTTAGTGAATCTTGCTCACATACTTTTACTTACTTGAAAAATAATGTATTCCTTGCTAACACTTGATTTTCTTACTAGCATGTCAGTATCTTCCAAGGTTCATGTCCATCATGCAGACTCTTGAACTCTTAGTACTCTTTTAACATCCAATGTTTGGGCAGATAACGTGGCAATTTAATGATCTAGTTGAGCAATTTTTACATTTTCACAATTTAACATTTCAAAGCCAGTATTGTGACAACATATTTATTGTACTTCCTCGCCATAAAATTATAAGCTTATGTAAGTTATGTCAGACAACCATTACATAGCAATGATTTTATGAAGTCATAATACCTCACTTTCTCCAAATATACCACAGAGAAGGTGGAACATAATTATATCATACTACATACCATGAATAATATGATCGTAATTGTAGAGAGCTGCGTGGAGCCACGCCTTTAAGATAGCACTGGCTGCTGCACTTCGTGAGCCCAAAAGCAAGAGCTCTCTATGACAAACAATTCCTTTTATGGTTATGGCCTGTAACTTGCTATGATCGTGTGTCGCTTGCGTATGCTTGAGCCTATGGACGATGTCCACGTGGCACTCCGGGATAGGCGACCACAGCCTATATAAGGGCTGGGAGAGGTCTGCCCGGGGAGAGAAATGAGAAAGAAACAGGAGAGAAGCGAGAGAGAAGCCATTGTTCAAGGTCCTGAATAAACTGCCTGCGAGAAGAGCTCCGGTATCGCGTCGTCCTTGCTGGTTGAGGTGGCAGCGACAAGTGGTGGCCCGTACGAGGAAAAAGCCACTTCCTCTCCCAGGAGCCCAGAACTTGCAGCAGTCAGGGGGTGCACCAATAAAGTCCTCGGGTAAGTTTGGGGATCTGCGATAAAAGTAGGATTAGTGACCGTGTCAAAAGCGGGGTTAGAGGTTCGCAAAGCAGATAGTCTAGGTAGGGAATCAAAGGCAAAAGCAGGCTGCCGAGAGCTGTCAAGCCGACAAGCGGCTTCAGGAGCTGTCAAATCGAAACTGAAAGTAGCGGCTTCGCGAACTGTCAAATCGAAACCGAAAGTAGCAGCTTCGCGAGCTGTCAGAATTGCCAGACACTATTGATACGGTGCTCTGGTTGATCATTTTTACTTGTGTGTGTAGGGAGTGTATTGAGAATTCTCAGTGAATATGGGGAATTCTCCTTCACACCCAATTTTTCTGGCTCTTAATGAGCTACTTAGATCTAAGAATCTGAAAATAAGAAAAGGCACGTTGGACAGATTTTTAAATGAATGCGATACAGTGGCTCCCTGGTTTGCAGTCTCAGGCAATCTTAATGTAGCATCTTGGGAAAAACTGGGACGTGATCTTGATTTTGCTGCGGAACAGGGTACGCTAAAAAGGGGGTTAGGCCGATTTGGAGACTAATACGAGGGTGCCTGGAAGATCAAAGGTGTAGTGAAGCTGTGGAGCACGGTCAAGCTGCTTTAGAAATATTACAGGAAGAGAGATCTGAGCGAGCGGTGCCAGAAAGAGCCAAGTCAGATACGAGGCCAGACAAGCACTTGCTTTGGTAGAAGAAAGACTATCCAAGGCGTTCTTGAAAAGAGTAAAATCTGTGGAGAATATCGCACTGTGTATTCTACCTACAAATTTACAACCTACAGGTATATTATGGCAAGAGGGACCACTGCTGTGGATCCATCCTAAAATTTCCCCTGCTAAATCTATAGAATATTATCCCACTGCTGTGGCTATACTTGCTCAGCAGGGTGTCCTAACCTGTTTACAGCATTTTGGATGCCCGCCTAAGATGTTGCTAGTCCCATATGATAATGCTCAAATGAAAGTGTTATGTGCCACCATCGATGATTGGGCCATCTTGCGTTGCTCTTATTCCGGATACATTGATTGTCATTTTCCTAAGCATCCTCTCCTGTCATTCTTTAAAGAACACCCTGTAATTTTCCCTAAAATAACTGCTATGCAGCCTATACCAGGGGCCAGTGTTATATTTACAGATGGATCCAAAAATGGTTGTGGAGTCTACATGGTGGATTCTGCAGAGCCTGTTACACACCAATTTTCCCCAGGAACCCCCCAACATGTGGAATTAGCTATAGTAGTAGAGGTCTTTAAGGCCTGTTCCTTTGCATTTAATTTGATTTCTGATTCGGCTTATGTAGTTAATGCTTTAAAACATCTTGAATGTGCTGGACCTTTAAAAGCATCAAGTTCAGTACATGCATTATTTGTCCAACTACAGTGCCTTTTATGACAGAGAAAACATCCCTTTTTTGTGCAACATATTCGAGCACATACAGGTTTGCCAGGCCCTCTGGGTGCTGGCAATGACAAGGTTGATCAGTGTACCAGACAAGAATGGATGTTTCTTACCTCTGCCCTGCAGACGGCTCATGACTTTCATAAACAGTTTCATGTTAATGCCAAAACCCTACAACAAAAATTTGCCATTTCCCGTGCCGATGCATGCAAGGTGGTTGTGGATTGTCCACAATGTGTTATATATCATCATCCTCAAACTTTGGGGGTCAACCCGCGTGGATTGCTCCCCCTTAAACTGTGGCAGATGGATGTTACTCATATTTCAGAATTTGGAAAACTGAAGTATGTACATGTTTCTGTGGATACTTATTCTGGTATCATGCATGCCACTTCCATGACAGGGGAAAAAGCGAACAATGTGATTGTCCACTGTTTAGAAGCCTGGGCAGCATGGGGCAAGCCCCAACAGCTAAAAACAGATAATGGCCCTGCCTATACTGGTAAACAGTTTACATCGTTTTGCCAACATATGGGTATTCACCTTGTACATGGACTGCCTTATAATCCACAAGGCCAAGGCATTGTGGAGCGTGCCCATCACTCCTTAAAAGAAATGCTTCAAAAACAAAAAGGGGGAATTGGCTTAGAACAATTCCCTAAGAATAGATTTTCTTTGACCTTATTTATCTTGAATTTTTAAAATTTGGATAATTCCAACCAATCTTCAGTGGACAGACATGCTTGTCCAAATAGCCAACCTAAAGGTCTAGTGAAGTGGAAGGACATTCTGACAGGGGTCTGGCATGGCCCTGATTCCGTGCTGGCATGGGCACGAGGTTCTGTTTGTTTTTCCACAGGATCATTTGGACCCTATTTGGGTACCGGAATGCTTGGTGAGAAAAGTACAGGTGCAGAGGAACGACAAGCAAGATGAAGCCTCAGACTGTGATCCAACTGATGGTGACAGTCCTGATGTCCCCGTTGTTGATCCAGGCCAATGAACAAATCTTGTGGGCCATAGAAAAAGCATGGCCAATTCCTATACCTGTTCATTTTATGTCAAAAGTTTTAAAACTAATAAGAAAAATACTTGGCCCTGGTTTCAATGGATTCTTTCTAATAAAAGAGGGGCCTTTTCATCCCTAGAGCCTTTCGCTGCTCTTTGTAATTTGACTGTTCGGCTAATTAACACCTCTGCCAGCAGAGATACAAAGGGTGTTCTTTCAAATGTTACTGTATGACTAATATTACCAATGCCACAGAGGATGTGATCTATTGTAAATCATCTAAGACATCTTGCCTCGCAAGCCAATGCTGGAATGGTACTTACAACACAGCTGTGGTGATGAGAGTTCCCACATATGTTCCCATCCCAGTCAGAGTTGATACCGGTACCTTCCCAATCGCTCATTTGCTCAGAACAAAACGAGACTTTGGGATAACAACAACCCTAGTCTCCGCAATTGTTGTATCTGCTGCAGCTGCCATGACAGCTGCTGTTGCCATGACTGCAACAACTCAGATTGCAGAAACAGTTAATGAAATCATGGAGAGAACGGCCTCCACAATGACCACTTTGAAATCCATCGATGGTCATTTAAAAGCTGGCATTTTGACAGTAAACCAAGGAATAGACCTCTTGCAAGAGCAAGTGAAGGATTTAGTAACATTAACCAGTGTAGGATGTATTCATTCCCTCTCCTCTTTGGGTATTACTTCTAGATTGGTCGAGAATTTTACAAAGAACGGTAACCTGAGCCGGCAGCTGAGTGCATACCTCCAGGGAAACTGGAGCAAGGAGTTCGAAAACTTGACGGACACCTTGATCAACCAGACTGTTTCCATGAATGCCACACGGCTGAAGTTACCTACTGCTGATGCTTTTCTTAACATGCTGAAATGAACTTTTAGTTACTTTAAGGAGTGGGTGGGAATAGGAGCCCTGACAGGTCTAATGGTGCTTGCCTCCTTGGTTTGTCTGTGGTACATATGTCGCATACGGACCTCACAGTGTCGCAACGCAGCTATGATCATCCAGGCTTTTACGACCATTGAAGCAGGACAGTCTCCCCAAATATGTTAAAAGATTGTTGACACAGGTTGCGAGGCTTGTGCACTGCACTTGAGAGCTTGTAATGTTGGTCTCAAGAAGAGCAAGTCTGATTGCATGTGGGTTGGTGCCTGATCTCCCACCTCTGCGCAAAAGGCACCGGGCGGATCTGGCGTTTCTCTGGGTGGACAGCACCTGGCTAGACATCAGTATATTGTTCCTAATTTTTTGACAGAGATCAGACCTCTACTCCTACCTGTTGCTTATGTGAAAACAAAAAAGGGGAAACTATAGAGAGCTGTGTGGAGCCGCGCCTTTAAGATGGTGCCGGCTGCTGCCCTCCGTGAGCCCAAAAGCGAGCACTCTCTGTGACAAATAACTCCTTTTATGGTTATGGTCCGTGACCTGCTATGATCGTGTGTCGCTTGCATATGCTTGAGCCTATGGACGATGTCCACGTGGCACTCTGGGACAGGCGATCATAGCCTATATAAGGGCTGGGAGAGGTCTGCCCTGGGAGAGAAATGAGAGAGAAATAGGAGAGAAATGAGAGAGAAGCCATTGTTCAAGGTCCTGAATAAACTGCCTGCGAGAAGAGCTTCGGTGTCACGTTGTCCTTGCTGGTTGAGGTGGCAGTGACACGTAATAGTGAATCAAATGTACAAAGAAAGTTTTCATTGTATAAAACAACAAAAAACCTGTTAAAACATTTTTTAAAGAAAGTATGGAAGAGCTATTTAAGAGAAAAAATAATCTGAAAGTCAGAAATGGGGCACAGGTATAGGAATTAGGAAACCTCATGTTGTTATTGAAGGTACAGTGAAATACAATGTAATTTCTTTATTCCTTTTTATTATTTTTTCCCATACAGTATATCCTAATTATAGTTTCCCCTCCCTTTACTCCTCCCAGTTCCTCCCCACCACTTCTCCCCTCTGGATCCATCTCTTCCTGTCTCTCATTAGAAAATAATAAGCTTCTAAGTGAAAACAACCAAAATGACAAAATGAAATATAATAAGATAAAACAAAATCATCACATCAAGGATGGGCAAGGCAACCCAACAGAAGAAAAAGATTCCCAAGAGCTGACACAAGAACCCACTTGCTAACACACTCAGGAGTCCCATAAAAAAGCTAGACTGAAAGCTATAACATATACACAGAGGACCTAGTTCAGACCCATAGAAGCCCTAAGATTGCAGCTTCAGTTTCTTTGAGCTCATATGAACCTTATTCAGTTGAGTTAGAGGGCCTTGTTCTCCTGGTGTTCGTTGTCCTCTCTAAATACAATATAATTTCTAAAAAAACAAGAATTTAAAAGCATATGACATGATCTAATGGCCCACATGTACATAATAAAACTAAAAGAAAATGAAATTTTAATGAAAAATTCAGAAAAAGTATTATTTCAGAATATGAGATTGGATATAGGTATTTAGCAATATCCCAAACTTATAATGTTGCATCTAACACAAGCATCATGTGATTAATGATTTTATGCTACATTCATTATTGCTTAGTAATGAAATTTTTAAAGTAAAAACCAAACTTATTTAATATATTAAGGAAGTAAGGAATCTCTGCAATGAAAACTTTAAACAATACAGAAATCGAAGACAACACTAGAAGATGGAAAGATCACGGCTTTGAAGACTCACCTTTGTGAAAATGGCTATTTTACCCCAACAACTTATAGTTTAAATAGAATCTCCATTAGTGCTACTCTCGGTTACAGAAGCCTCATTTTACGTGGGACAGTAGTTACTGCAGAGACTCATAACATTTTCAAAATGCAGAGAAAAAGTTACTATTGAGTGTTCAGTCCTAAGTAAGACCTCAACATTAGCCCCTCGAAGGCTCGGGGAACATTTCAGAAGAGGGAGAAAGACTGTTAGTGTTGGGGGGTGAGGAAGAATGCCTTGGATGCTGTTTTCCAGCTGTGGGAGGGCTGTGGCATACCTGAACTCCCAGCAGCTGTGACGTCCTGCACCAGGACTGGGCCTGCCAACATTCTGTCTGGGTGAGGCTGGGTCAGGTCTCCTAAGCACCGACATGTCCCCAAAGAAATCTATTGGCAATTATGGCTGCTGTGGGAGAGAGAGGCATTTTCTTCAATGGTTAATCCACTGGTAAATTACCCATGCCCTGGTGAACAGCTCTCATCCACATTTATGTAAGCAATGCAAATTCAGTTAGGAACTGAAATATTTAACTTGAATCTGTCAGGATTCAATAAATTTATTTGTCCCTTCCCTCTTGGGTTTTAAAAAGTGAGATAATATAGGTGCCCCTCAATAGAAGAATGGTTAAAGAAGGTGTGGAACATATACACATTAGAGTTTTACTCAGCGGTAAAAAACAATGACATCTTGAATTTTGCATGCAAATGGATAAAAATAGAAAACGCTTTACTGAGTGAGGTAACCCAGACACAAAAAGAGGAATATGGTATGTACTCACTCATAAGTGGATTCTAGCCATAATTAAAGGTCTTTGAGCCTATAATTTGTGATCCCAAAGAAGCTAAATAAGAAGGTGAACCTGAAGAAAATCATATAGTTATCCTCCTGGATATTGGAAGTAGACAAGATTGCCAGGCAACCTTGGGTGCATGGGGTGGGGGTGGTGGAAGGAAGGCGAGATGGTTAGAGAGAAGGGAGTAGGGGAGGATTGGGGAATGGCATGGGGGGAGGGAGGAAGGATGGATATGGGAGCAGGGAAGTATATATCTCAACTAAGAAAGCCATTTTAAGGTTTGCAAGAGACTTGATTCTAGAGGGGTTCTCAGGTCCAAGGAGAGATCCTCAGATTGTTCCCTGGACAGCAGAGGAGAGGGTGCCTGAACTGGCCTTGGCCCATAAACTAACTGACGAATATTTTGCATATCACCATAGAACCTTCATCTCGCGATGGATGGAGATTGAGACAGAGACCCACATTGGAGCACTGGACTGAGCCCCCAAGGTCCAAATGAGGAGCAGAAGGAGGGAGAACATGAACAAGGAAGTCAGGACCGCGAGGGGTGCGTTCACCCTTTTATATAAGGGGACTGATCTAATGAGAGCTCACCAAGGCCAGCTGGACTGGGACTGAACGAGCATGTGATCAAACCGGATTCTCTAAATTTGGCTGACATGGGGGCTGACTGAGAAGCCATTGATAATGGCACTAGGACTTGTTTCCTCTGCATGTACTGGCTTTTTGGGATTCTAGTCTCTTTGGATGCTCACCTTCCTAGACCTGGAGGGAGGGGGGAGGAACTTGAATTTCCCACAGGGCAGGAAACCCTGACTGCTCTTAGGGCTGGAGAGGGAGTGGGGAGAGTGGGTGGGTATTGGGAGGGGAGGAGGGGCGAAAAGGAAAAGAAAAAAACAAAACAAACAAGCAAAAAGTCTATAATAGTGCTAATGCTACTTTATAAGTAAGTAATTTAGGTAAGAATTTACCAACTTAGTAACAATACATTTCTGAATTGCCTGTGATTGACATTGGTGTTATATTCTAATAACAGCTGTTAGAATTTTTTCAGTTCTCAAATACTTCAGCTGAAAATAGAACAGAGAGAAATGATTTCTGAAAAGTCAATCAATAAGAGTGAAACCTCACACTTTAATGACTTCTGTAAATACATTTTAAATTCGCATAATTTGTACACATGCCTATTTACAATCAGCCTGCCATCTCCATAAACCATCTACCAAATTTCACTTAATAAGAAAGTATTTGAACATGGCAAAATGTTAAAGATGGGTAGCAAAGGCTGCACACATTTATCTTCTTGGAAAATCAGACTGAATTATTCTTATCTCACCAGGCTACTTTCTCATCACCCTGACTTCAACAATGAAGGCGGAAAATCAATTTCATTACCAAGTAACACTTTCAATCATGGGTCTCCAAACTGTTCAGCATTAGAGCTGACATTTCCAAAGTATTTTATGATTGGTCTTTAATGCTTAAATAATGATTGTAAAGTTTTGTTTGTCAGAATGAGAAAGAAATACTTCCCATTTCAAAAATGGGTCAAACATGAATCATGACATTGGCCATGGCTTTCAGTATCATATTTATGTGTCCAACACTTAACTGTCAGTA